GCTTATTGTGGAGACCTTAGGAAGAGGACTTGTGGAGATGTGGGAAGTGGGACCAAGGAACCAGAGGACATACGTCACCAAAGAGAGGAATCTGGAGATCCTCTCCATTTTAAATCTTTTCTATTGCTTCTACCAGTTTATGAATGAATCAATCAGTCATTCTAACTAATTAGAGGCAGAGTCTCACTATGCAGCCGAAGACGGAGTCAAACTCATGATCCTTCTTCCTCAGCATTACAGGTACTATAATTACATACCTAGCTGTTTTCCCCATCTTAAAGAGAAAGAATGCAATGGCGTGAATTGACTTGTCAAAAGTCATCTAGCTAGTATGAGGTAGAGCTGGGACAATGTTTATTAATTGATGCAAAAAAGATGCTAATGCAGCCAGGTATGGTGGTGCATGCTTGTAATCCCTGCACTTGGAAGCTGAAGTGGGAAGGTCTTGAGTTCAAAGCCAACCTTTTAATTCTGAGAACCATATCAGAGACCAATAGAGCAAACATGCTGTCACCTCTCACTCATGTTAAATGAACAAGTTAATACTTCTCACTCATCTTTTACTTGTTCAGTTGCCCTTGTTGACATGGAGAGACTCTGTCACAACAACAGTAACAACCTACAGAGCCACAGTAACATGACATTCACATCTAAATGGACTCACAGACAAACAGAATAAAACAGAGAACTCAGGAAGAAACCTATATGCCCACACACATCTGCTCGAGAACAAAACGCCCTCTTTAACAAACAGTGCTGGGAAGATGGGCACCCACGTGTAGAAGACTGAAATTAGAATCCTACCTCTCGCTCTGTACAAAAACCCAATTCAAATGGATAAAAAATATTAATGAAAGTCTGGAAGTTTTGACTACTGGAATGAACACAGGGGAAGGGGGCAGGGTGGCACACACCTGTAATTTCAGCATTTGAGGTAGAAGTATGAGAATCAGGAGTTAAAGGTTGCTTTCTGCTGTACAGCAAGTCTGGGGTCAGCCTGGGTTACATAGGGCCCGATCTCTCAAGAGGGCCAATGATTTTCCTGTAGAGAAAGCAGGGTCTTTAGACCATAAAAGCACTGCTGTAAGGGGTGTGATGAGGAGAGGATTCCTCTAGGTTTCTGTTTCTCAGAGGGGAACAAGAACCAGCTCTTGGGAATTTTGTAAAGCTTCACAAATTGTTTTCAGAAAAAAAACACAGTCCTAATTATTCTGTAATGGTTATTGATTTGTTTAAAGTTTAAGCTATTAGAGGAACATAAGTGTCTTAACACTACAATCCTACCATCCCTCCAATTTGTTAGCTAAGTCCCAACAAAAGCCTGGCGTTCCCGGCAGGACCAGCGTTTCAGCACCGAGGACAGCGACATCCGTGTCCACTACTGGGCTTCTTGCTGCACCCTCCAAAGTAAACCTGCGATGTGTCCTGGGGTTTTTCACCTCAAAGCACAGCCACAACGCCTTCCTGAGGATCCCCTGAAGAGCCCCCATTAGAGGATTTTGATTGGCTACAGAAACCCATAATCTAGCTGTATCACCCTAGACGGCACTGTGTACTCCAGAGGGTGATGCTGCCATGGGAAGCTGTGGGCTTAATAAGGACTGGGAAGTCGGGAGGAGGCCAGACAGAGGGAAGATTCCTGCAGCCTCTAAGCTTTCCCAGGTTTGTCTTGCTAGCCTGCTTTCTACGCTCAACATCTTTATGATGAACCAACCTCAGGACTCAGGGTTTGGGATATAAGGCACTTCCGTTTGCCACACCCACCCAGGTTGCTGGGCGCACAGCACCCACCCTCTGAGACCTTTATTAAAGGAAAGCAAACATTTAACCAAGAAAAAAAAAACAACAAACTCTTAATTGGAGGCCTCCAGGGTTGTTTGCAGAGGCAGATGGGAGGCGATCTAATGAAACCACCTCACACGGTCCTTGGTGCGCACCTCACAGATAAAGCCTCATTGCCAGGCAACAGTTTTTCCATCAAGAGACTTGGTGAGGCTGTGTATTTGAAAAATATGATTTTGTAAGCAGGTCCCAGAGAGTGCTGGTTCTGCCCAATGCCAGAGTCTGCCACCAGATAAGCAGCTGCCACGTTCCCTGGGGTATTGGCAGGGTTGTTCCTCCCAGGACCTCTGACGGGGCCTGTCAGCATGAAGGCACCCTGAGCCACAGTCAGGGAGAGGCCCAGCATTGCCTAGGATCAGGGGCTGCTCAAAGGACTTCACTGGTCACCAAGGGCAGCTGGCCCGATGAGGGTGGAAGGGTGTCAGGGCTGCAGAAACTGGCTATATCCATGTAATACCACGGCCCCTGGTGCCTTCTGCTGCCACTCTTCTGATGACTTCCTTTCCCTCAGACTAAAAACCAAAGTCCATTTCCACAGGACCCTCACTCAGCACCATCTCCCCTCTGGCACCAGCTGCTAGGCTTGCTCCCTTCTGGTTACATTGGCTTTGTTTTTCTCTGCCTCACCCCTTCTGGCTATAGGGATACCCCTGGGCTTCCGCACGAGCTGCCCATTCTCCCTAGAATGTTTTCCACCTGTTATATATACCTCTCTCTCTCTCTCTCTCTCTCTCTCTCTCTCTCTCTCTCTCTCTCTCTCAGTTCCTCCCAGTCCTCATTCAAGCTGCCACCATAAGGAAGCCTGTCCATCTCACTGCCTGTTACTCCAAGGCTCCTTGCCCCATTCAGAGGGTCCTCGCCCTACTCAGAGGCTCCTCACCCTACTCAGAGGGCCCTCACCCTACTCAGAAGGCCCTCACCCTACTCAGATGGTCCTCACCCTACTCAGAGGGTCCTTGCCCTCCTCAGAAGGTCCTCGCCCTACTCAGAGGGTCCTCACCCTACTCAGAGGGTCCTTGCCCTCCTCAGAAGGTCCTCGCCCTACTCAGAGGGTCCTCACCCTACTCAGAGGGTGCTCACCCTCCTCAGAGGGTCCTCGCCCTACTCAGAGGGTCCTCACCCCACTCAGAGGGTCCTCACCCTCCTCAGAGGGTCCTCGCCCTACTCAGAGGGTCCTTGCCCTCCTCAGAGGGTCCTGCCCTCCTCAGAGGGCCCTCACCCTACTCAGAGGGTCCTCGCCCTACTCAGAGGGTCCTCGCCCTCCTCAAAGGGTCCTGCCCTCCTCAGAGGGCCCTCACACTACTCAGAGGGTCCTCGTCCTACTCAGAGGCTCTCCTTTTTGCCGTAGCCACCACAGCCTTCTAACTTCCTGTCTAATGTGCTCTGTTGTTACAGCTCATTGCTCGTTGTCTGTCTCTCAGTTTAGCTAAGCTCCAAGACAGCAGAGTTCTGATCTTCCTTCCACATTGGTATATTCCAGGCATGGGACATAGAGCACACAGTAGCTGCTCAAGGAGTGTTTGAAGAACAATGAAATGTATCTTTGGCTCAGTTACAAGTGACCCTAGTGGAACTATGAGAAAGAGTTCATGTTCCCCAGCACCCACATGGTAGTTCACAACTGTAACTCCTGGATCTAACACCCTCACACAGACATACATAGAAACAAGACCCCAATGCTGTGGATTATGCTCATTGTTAATAAAACCCTGATTGGCTGGTAGCCAGGCAAAAAGTATATGTGAGGTGACCAGAATGAGGATGCTGGGGAAAGAGGGGTGGAGTCAGGAGAGACAGCAGCCAGGGGCCCAGGAAGCAAGACATACTAGAATTCTGAAAGGTAAAGCCATAGGCCACTTGGCAATACATAGACAAGTAGAAATGGGTTAATTTAAATGTAAGAGTTAGCCGGTAACAAGCCTGACCTATCACCAAACATCTATAATTAATAAGAACCTCTGTAAGGTAATTTGAAAGTGGCCTCTAGGATGGGAAAACTCCGCCTACACACCAATAAAATAAAAATAAATTAATTTTTATAAAAGAAAAATTAAAAGAGTCCTGCCAGGCCACCGAGTCTCTGGGAGAGGACTGGAAGCACCTCACACTCCAGCAACATCACCTGGTATCTCAGGAAGGAGGCAGCCTTGTCCACACAGGAAGACCCAAGGACTTGGCTTTCCTCCTACCCCATTGTGGATATGCTGTGTGACTCAAGTCACGGGACTGTCCACTTCTGAGTCTTAATTTGCTCTTCTGGGGCATGAGATTAGTTTCTGCTCTCTTTGTCTAAAAGCAGCAGACAAATTTTGCACCTAAAATATCCAGGTTTTGAAAACATATAGGAAGAGGCGAGGCTGGTTGGAGGTAGAGGTGTCCCTGGGCTACTGGACTAGGATGGGTCACTTCTGTTTTAGCTTGACGGTGAAAACTGCCCCCCCAATCTGCCTCATTTGCCTGAGAGCTGTGAACTCAGGACCCAGTCATGTGTGGGCTGAATCTTCAGTCCATACATTGAACATGGGTGAAACCACGGAGAGGGGCTCTCAGCACTGTGAAAGCAGTGACCACTGACCACTATCAAATAACAAATAAATACACATAGTGACAGGATGTGAGGCACAAAACTGGCTTGCTAGAAAGAGAGGCCTCCCTCACTCAGGCAGGGGTCAGGAAGTTCTGAAACGTGAACGTGCCTCCAGTCGGTGAAATCAAGAGAAAAGTACCTAAGCAGAGGAAAACTCAGCGCCTGGAGAAAGAGGTACAGGAACCTCGGTGAACTGGGGAGGAATGGGAGGTTCAGAGAAAGGAGTGACTTGCCCACGGATACACAGCAGATTGACAGGTGGAGGTTCAGCTGGGCCCCCTTCTGAAGCCGGGTACTCTTCACTGCCACTAGCTAGGGGCAGGGTGGAGGCAGCCAGAGGTGAGCCTGGAGGCGGGGCGGGACCCGAAGGTAGGGAAAGGACTCAGGGGGAGGTCCTATGACGTAATTTCCTGGGTGTGTGTGTGTGTGTGTGTGTGTGTGTGTGTGTGTATGCGCGCGCTCGTGCGTGCGTGCGTGCGTGTGTGGTGTGTATAAAAGAGAGGCATATAGCGTTGCTGCTGCTACTGCTGCTGCCACCACCGCCGCCGCCACCACCGCCGCTACCGCAGTCATCCCGCTGGGGCAAGAGCTCGAGATGACAGACCATAGACCCACTTCTGCCATCCTCCTGCCGCAGTTCATCCACCCGACCCGCACCACTCGACTCGCCATGCGCTATGCCGCGGTTCTGGCGCTTCTGCTGTGCTCGGGACAAGGTGAGCTGCTTTAGGCTCGGTAGCAGGGTCCCCTCTCCTGCCCCAGGTCCTTTGAGGCGCCCGAGGGTTCAGTACCACGGACAACACCCAGTCAGGACGCGGGTTAGCTCTAACGCTAGACTCAGTGTGGCCTCCGGGCTCCCACCACACCCGTATGGACTGTGGGGACTGTGGAGTCTGACCCAACCCAGCGGGGCAGCTCCCCCTACCCACCCACCTCCACATCACCCACCGGTGTGGGGCTCTGCGCAACCAAGGTCACTGGGGGAGATAAAGGACTGCCACTACCTCCCCAATCCTCCCGTCCTTTCCACCCTTTAGTCTGCCCTTGATCTCTTCCCCCACCCCAGATCTTTGCCACCACCTCTGGGGTTTCTCCCCTTGCATGCCTCCATTCCTACCTACCCCGTCCCACTATATGGTTGGTCTTGTTCAGAGTAAACTTGATTTCAGCTCTACATGCACCCTCCTCTGGTGGGAACGGTTGAGGTTCTTTAGTGCAGCCTCTGAGGGCCACCCCCTGGGGCAGCAGGGAAGGGAAACAGGAATCAGTGCTGGTGACTTATTTGGGTTTGGGGCATCGGTGTAAGGGAGAGCGCCCCCCCCCCAATAGGGAAGAACTGGGCTTTCCTTGGTGTGGAGAAATAACCAGTTAGCAATCTCTCACTCTCTATCTCTCTGTCTTCTTCTTGCCAGTCTTTGCCCTCCCTGTGAACAGCCCCATGACAAAAGGGGACACTAAGGTAAGAAGGAACGTTGGGGTACCTTGGGAGAGAGGAGGATGCCCTGTGGGCACCTCCTGGCCAGTCCTTGGGCAGCTGCAGGAGGGAGGCTGGCATAGAGCCAGAGGCAGCACTGCAGCAGCTGAGCCGGGGACAGCTTACACAAGAAGACATCAAAGATCTCTGCTTGCCCTGCTGCAGTGACTTCCCAAGGGGCCCACATCTCACCTGCTGAGACCTGGGACCAGGGACACCAGTCTGAGCCAGGACCATAGCTTCTCCTGTCCTAGGTGTCCACAGACCTGCCTGCCTCTGCCCTCACCTTGTCACTCAGACTCCCTGCTCTGCCTCCCGCTTCTGCCTCCTGCTTCTGCCCAGGGATTCATCTGGCAGTGAGAAACAAGCCATACCAAATCCTTGGACTGCGTCCTCATCAGAACCAGGGCTGTTCTCCCAGGATCGGGATGTCTCCACCTGGGCATCAGAGAATTCTGTTCTCCGTGGTCTGAGGGCCGTCTTCTGTGAGAGGCCACAGCTAAAAGCCAAAGGCACCCAAGAGCTCACTGTTTATTTGTTCAGTTGTATTTTCTTGTTTATTTGTTGGTAACTGTACACAGGCTGGGTGTTTAACTTTCCACCATCATTTTAGCTGTGCAACCTCGGAAAATCCAGCTTCTGTAAGTGTCTCGATCCATGGGTGAAGCCACAGGAACCTCGTAGGCCCTCAGTGATTTCCCTAGAGCCTTCCTTCGTATCTCGTCATTGTTCTTTTTTATGTTCTCTTCTTTCCTTCCTTCTTTCTTTCTTTCTTTCCTTCCTTCCTTCCTTGCTTCCTTCCTTCCTTCCTTCCTTCTTACCTTCTTTCCTTCCTTTCTTTATTTCTTTCTTTTGAAAGGGTCTCTTTTGACAGTAGCCCTGGCTGTCCTGAAACTCATTATGTAGATCAGGTTGGCCTCAGACTAAAAGAGATCCGCCTACCTCTGCCTCCCGAGGGCTGGGATTAAAGATATACACCACAACCCCCTGCTTCCCAGTATTCTTGAGACCCCTACCCAACTCCTGTTTCTTGGTATCTGCCCTCAAAAGCTGGTGGTTTCCTGGTGTTCTCTATGCAAAGTCTGGTGTTGGGGAGAAAGCGCACGTGCTCCTAGGAGCTGCTTGCCAGATCTGCTCCCACCACCATAGCTTGGCAGCTGGAGTCAGAGGTGCCAGCAGCTAGGGATGACCTGTGTGTTCGCTTGGAGGTTGTTATGACTACATGCTCCGACAGCCTTTGCCGACTTGCTCTCTTGGAACCATGGGTTGGATGTCTCCACATCCCATAGACACATCTTCCCACACCTTCGCTCTCTGCCAGTGTTGCCTGACGCATGTCTGGCACCTCCTGCTCCTCCACCCAGCTGCAGGCAATGGAAACAGGTCTGACGTTGTGATTCTCTCCCTAAGCGTGTGTGGCACTTCACACGGGATGAAGTGTTTTCCACTGGGTGGGCATTCTCATCCCTGCTTTACATATGGGGAAACCAAGGCTCAGAGAGACTTAGTCACTTGCTCCAGATCACACAGCTAGCATTCCACACGGTGCAGACCGTCTTCAGAAACCAGCTATCTGCCATGGGCTTCTCTACCTGCTGCGCCTCATACAACGTTCAGAGACATACATGTCTTGGGCTGGCATGAACATGGAGATGTAACTAGTTGGCATCCCACATCCAGCCAAGGTTTTTTTCCCCCATGGAACAATGTGGAGTCACATAGTGTGGCTGCAGAATGAGACGTGGTCCTGTTTCTGGCAAATTCGAGCCTGGGTAGATTTGTGTTCTTCACTGGACAGCCTGGAGGACATCTTGGAGGAGCTGATCCTTTGGACTCTGCTGGACCCCCAGAGGTCCTCTTAGATCTCAGAGGCAGCACCCTCCTTAGAGAACTACCCAAAGAGGGAGAAGATGGCAGATAAATACTCCCCTTCCTCCCTCAGCAGTGGTTCCCTGGAGGTACATGCTGGCATGCCCATGTGATTGGTTTGGCTCGTGTGTGTGTGTGTGTGTGTGTGTGTGTGTGTGTGTGTGTGTGTTCTGTTTCTATGGCTCTACAAGGTCTAGTTAAGGAAGCAGAGGTGAGCCCCAGGGCCTCTTGCAGATAACAGAAATGTTCTTCTTCTGCCCTCCTGGGAAAGCTGCCCTGGCACCTCAGGGACTAAGCTCCATGTTTGTACCAGCCACAGACTGTCTTGCTGTCTCCCAGGTGATGAAGTGTGTCGTGGAGGTCATCTCTGATTCGCTGTCCAAACCCAGCCCCATGCCTGTCAGCTCTGAGTGTCTGGAGATCCTCCAAGGAGGTAGGAGCCAGAGGCTGGAGGAGGGACTGGGAGGCCAGGGTGCTGGTGGGTGTCTCTTGACGGGATTAATCATCTCCTCCAGCAGTCGTTGCCCCAGTGCCCTGGTCTGTGCTGGCATCTGGGGAGCACACATGAGGAGGTGACAGCTCCTGGGACTGATCCTGAGGCATGTAGATTTTCAGAGGGAACACATGGCAGAATGAAGGGCCTGGAACAGCAGCCTGCAGACTGGGCACCCTGTGGACCAGAGTTCTGTGGGCTGTATTCCCAGCGTTTGGAGTCCTACTGACTCTCTGGATCTGGGATAGAGGGTATTAAGTGGGCCTATGAAGGACCACATCTTTCCAAGCTGACCATCCAGTTTGTCTAACACACGATAGCACTGGTGATGGGCAGGTAGAAAATGAAGGATGTCAGGAGGAGCAGACAGGGCAGGCAACCTGGAAGTGGGAAGTATTTACACACTCAGTGGAACCTGATGTCCACAGCTCCTTCCGTGGGGGCTGGGCGTAGAGTCAGCAGGCGACCTTTCTGCTGCAGCAGGGAGGTGACTGACGTCTTGGATATGGGGAATTCCCAAAGTGTTCTACCAAGATGCAGGCTTGCCACTGCCTCCTGGTGCCGAGTTTCCAGAATAAATGATTGAGCTTGCTGAAAGCGTCCACGCTAATCTCTTGGGGTTGTCCTCTGGAAGCCACCGGTAACTGTGTCCTCTCCCTGCAGATGAGAGGGTCCTCTCCATCCTGCGACACCAGAATTTGCTGAAGGAACTCCAAGACCTGGCTCTCCAAGGTATTTCAGCACCACACACAGTTCTCAGGGGAAGGAAAGCCAGCAACAGAGCAGGAAAGAACGCGGGTGGAGGCTGAGCAGAAAGGTGGGGTGCTTCATGCTACACGACTCTATTGTCCAGACTGCTAAAGAGATCAAGGCTCAGAGAGGCTGAGTGATTTCCCCAAGACCACACCATGAGTACACCTTGTTCAGAGTAGACACGATTCTGCTGACACTCCTTGGCCTCTGGAGGGCAGTCATCCAGGAAGACCACAAGGATTCTTCTCTGCAGACCCAGAAGTGAGCACACACAGAGAAAGCTCTTGCTTCCTTGTGATTCTTGCTCCTTGGATTATGTGGGAGGCAAGGTTTTGCTAGTCCCTCAACACAGACCAGACTTACAGTGTGTCTTAGACTGGGAGGTGACTTTCCCAAAAAGACTAAGAAAATCCAGTGCTTTTCAGACAGGATTTGAGGCTGAGGGCTCACAGCATGGAGAACTTGCAAGCCGGCCAGGACAGAGAGCTAAGCTCTTGTCAAAGCACCATCCCCAGCCACTTCCTGGTTTGAGGGAGGGTGAAGCACTGCCCTGGAGACCTGGAGGAGCTGGGCTCCAGCTCTGCTTCTGCCCCAGCTGCCTTCTGAGGAAAGTAGCCACGCTTGTGAGATACGCCCTCAGTGCCTTGTGCATGAATCTGTCATCTCTGCCCAACTCAAACCAAGGCCACCCTGGGGTCTTTGGGGCAGTGAGAGCTGTGTATGAAAATGGAGAGAGAGTTGGGTGATAAGCAAGCAAAAATTAGCCCTAGTACCAGTGGTGGTGGCGCACGCCTTTAATCCCAGCACTTGGGAGGCAGAGGCAGGCAGATCTCTGTGAGCTCAAAGTCAGCCTAGTCCAGGACAGTCAGGACCACACAGAGAAATCCTGTCTTGAAAAACAAACAAACAAAAAATTAACCTTAGCAATTCTCCTTCCCTGTGGGAGTTTGCCCCTTTCCTCTCACTTGCTGGTCTGTTTTGGCAATAAACACCAACCTCCCATGTTTTATTTATTTATTTATTTATTTATTTTTGAGGCAGGATCTCATGTAGCCCAGTCTGACTTGAAACTTACCATATAACTGAGGACGCCCTTGAATTTCAAACCCTCCAATCTTCCACCTCCAGAGGGCTGGGATTTCAGGCGTGGGCTACTACACTGCTTTATGTGGTGCTGGGGATGGAACCTAGGGCTTCACGTATGCTAAGTAAACACTTCACCAACTAAACATCTCTAGTGGGCCCTAGAACCCACGCCTGGCAAACAGGGGATGGTGGCTGGCGCTGGGGTATTTAGGATCAGTTTTGTCCTGTCTTTGTTTTGAAACAGGGTCTCACTCTGTAGCTAACCCTGCCTCAGCCTTTGGAATGCTGGGGTTGCAGGCATGTTCCACACACCCACTGTACCAGGTCCATGCACAGGGCACTGTGGTCCTACCCGTTCCTCAGGAGGTAGCCAGGGTTAAAGTATGGCTGGAGGTTAGGTGTTCCAGGTCTCCAGGGTGATGCTTTTAAACAAAACATTAGATATTTTAATGATAATTTTAAGATTAAATATTGGATGGATATTCCATTTAAAAATTATTTCAACAGAGATTGTTAGAAATGTGCCTTACTCTATACCCTTACACATATGTATCTAATAACACACAGTATCTGCACACTGGGTTGTTTTCCATTATGAAGGCACTGGGTGTGTCTTCAACCATCATGACCATTCCTCCATCCCCTCCTGGGTTCTGTATAATATTCTTGCCCTGGGACCTCTGCCTTAACATCTACTACAAGTCTGTTTATAAATGAGCATCTGACCTTGAGGAGCCCTCCTTGCTCAAGGTCACAAAACCACGGGCATGGCCAGGGGAGGCCTGAAGCTCACTGCAGCTGAGTCAGACAAGCTTCCTCGCCTGCACTGACTGCACAGCTGCAGAGCTGTGTCCTGATGCAGACACTGCTGCAGGATACTCAGCAGGGCAGCAGCAACAGCAACAGGGGCTATATAGGCAAAGGGACTCTGGGCTTCAAGGTAGGTACAGCCCTGGGCTCAGAGATAGGCACAGCACCCACCTTCTCTAGGGGCCAGACTTGGGGTTCCAGAGCTGGAGTTTCTTGAATAAAGAGAGCCCATTAAAACCCAGGGCTGCTGTCGTGTCATAGGTCCTGAGGGTTTCTCATTGCTCTCCTGCTGGAATAGACATGCTTCTATTCCATTTGAGCCCTTATTGCTCTTAAAGGTACAAGAAGAACTTTCTCTCCTTCCCCACTGGGGACACTGAGTCAGAGAGGTGGTGTAGCCTGATGGACCCCAGCTGAGAACCTGTACCCTCAGCTTCTCTCTAAGAACACAGGATGTTCACAGGGTTGAAGTAGGCCTACAGAGTCATAGACAGATATGTCAGGGCCTGGCCACATGGGACCTCCCCTTGTCCCCTCCTACCAGGTGCCAAGGAGCGGGCCCAGCAGCAGCCAAAGCAGCAAGAGGAGCCGAAGCAGCAAGAGGATCCACAGCAACAACAGCAGCAACACAGCAGCTTCGAGGACGAGCTCTCAGAAATGTTCGAGAACCAGAGCCCTGAGGCCAAGCATGGAGGTCAGTGTGGCCAGCTGGGAGAGGAGGGGTCGCAAGAAGCACAGTGGTCCCCAGGGGGCACTGCTTCTTCAGAGCAGGAAGGCAGCTATTGCTCCCTTCCCTTTACACGTCGGAAACCAAGGCCTGGAAGGTTAAGTCCCTTGCACAGGGTTCATACCATAACAGAATTTGAACCTGGCTCTTTCTTATCCAAAGCCCCCGACTTGGCCCCACACCAGTCCCCTGCTCCAGAGGCAGGAGTAACCCTGGGCCAACCTCATAGCCCCTGCCACAAAGCCCCCGTCTCCTGCTCCTGTCCTCCTGGGACTAGGGACCACCTTAGGTGAAGGTGTGCAAGGAGGGTCCAGAGGAGTGGGTTCAAAATACAAAATGACCTGGGTCATCGACCCGGAAGTAAAAAAGGCATCCTTGGGCAGTGTCAACCAGCTTCCCACCCTGGAAGTGCGACAAACTGCAGAGCTGGGATTTTTGTGTCCAAAGTGGACAGAAAGGCCAGTTCCCAGCAACTTGTCTATGGTCATCCTCTGGGCCAACTATGGACACATACAGGTGTGCCCGGCACCCCACATCAGCTGGTGTCAGGCACCCCGCATCAAGTGCACTGTCACCCTGGTGGCTGCTTGTCATGGTGTGCAGACTCCCACATATTGCTCCCATGGGAACAAGCGTCGAGATTGCTGTGGTGCTATGAGAAGGGAATAGTGTCGTGTGTGTGTGTGTGTGTGTGTGTGTGTGCATGCGTGCATGCATAAGTGTGTGTGTATGCATGTGTGTGTGTTTGTGTGTACAGGAGCGCACGCGCGCGCACACACACACAGCTGAAAGCTCTAATGCAGAGACCCTGAGCTTGGCATTTGGAGGAATGAACAAGGTGGGCCTCCAGAGTCTGAGCAATGACAGGTGTCCTGGCTTTCTGAAGATCATTTGAGTTCTGTGGACTAGGCGCCCTGAAGCCCTGGTGACAGTAGCATGTGCCTGGTGGTGCTCTGTGAGCAGCTGCCAATCCAAAAACAGGAGGGATTGTTACTCTTAAAAGCCTGTCTTTAAGAAAACACCTTTCAGTGGAGCCTGTACTGGTCACACAGCGCTCAAGATGTGCAGGGATAGGCTTGAACACAGACAGGTTAAATGATTCGCCCAGATCACACCGCAGTCCAGCTGCTGCCCTAGTTCACAGTTCAGGGTTCTATCTTCTGGGGTCATTTTAAATTATGTTAATTTTGATTTGGGGGTTCCATTTTTGCTTTCAAAATTACAATCCTGTTTAAAAAAGCAGAATTAAAGCAGCCCAATTCAATTGACCTCAGAACAAGCTTCAAATTAAATATAAAATATGAAAGGTTAAGCCGGGCGGTGGTGGCGCACGCCTTTAATCCCAGCACTCGGGAGGCAGAGGCAGGCGGATCTCTGTGAGTTCGAGACCAGCCTGGTCTACAGAGCTAATTCCAGGACAGGCTCCAAAACCACAGAGAAACCCTGTCTCGAAAAACCAAAAAAAAAAAAAAAAAAAAAAAATGAAAGGTTAAATATAAAATATGAAAGGGTGACCCCAATCTTTCTCATAGGGTGGGCTTCCTGGAAGCCAAGACATCTGATGGCAGGCTTGAACTTGGGAGTCCCTGATGGCAGCTGGGTCCTCAGCTTGACTCTCTCCTACTGTGTTCACAGACGCTACAGCAGAAACTCCGACTACGGAAGCCGTGGAGAAGAGAGAGGACTCTTATGAGGGGCAACAGGATGGCTCTGAGGGAACCACGGAGGGACCCAGGCCTCAAGCTGTCCTAGAGCCCAGGCAGAAGTCCTCTATGGTGGAGAACAGTCAGGCTTCTGAGGAGGACACAGCCACCAACACCCAGCCACCGGCCAACCTCCCCAAACAGGAGCACAGGGACCCGCAGGCTACGGGGGACAGCGAGACAGGCCTGAGTGTCCGGCAACAAGCCATAAACGCCAAGCAGGAGGAGGAAGAGCAAAAGGAGGTTAGAGAGAAGTCTGGGCCTGAAGAAGCCCCCACCACAACATCCAGCTCCCACTCCCAAACCAAATACCAGGAGATCCAGAAAGATGAGGGTACGTACAGTGACAGGACCTCACTGATGTGTCTGGGAGAGGGTGGCCTTATGCCACCTCCATAACAACGCTGAAAGATGGTGTCCTCTCCACCGTCCAGGAGAACAGCAGGCTCAGAGAGGTCATATAATTTGCTTAAGGCTACACAGCTAATTGGCAATCAAAGCTATGATTCCAACTGCAGTTTGCCTGACTCCTAAACAAAACACCTGAGAGGGAGGAAGGGCTTCGCGTAGGTGCTTGGAGAATGCAGGGAAGACAGGGTGAGGTTCAGTGAGGGGCTCCCCCACTGTATTGTGCCTTGCAAAGCATAATACAGGGTTGCTCTGTGCTCCGATGGGGCTGCTATGGGGGTGCTGGCTGGACTCCGAAGGCTGAGCTTGGCCTTAGAAGTGGCTGCACAGAGGATCTGAGGGAGTAACAGGGTCTGGGGGAAATGGCAGCCCTTCCTCAACCGTTTCCTGAAGTTCTTGCCACCACCCACTCCAGGTCAGTCGGAGTCTCAGGCAGTGGATGGAGCTGGAAAGACTGGAGCTTCTGAAGCTCTGTCACCCCAGGGGGAGCTGGAGCTCTCTCGGCAAGAGGACAACGGGGAAGACGTGATGGCAGGGCTGCCCCAAGGTCTCTTTCCAGGCAGGAAGAGCCAGGAACTGGAGCATAAGCAGGAGGAGGAGGAAGAGGAGCATCTACCCAGAGAATGGGAGGACAAGCGGTGGAGCAGGATGGACCAGCTGGCCAAGGAACTGACGGCAGAGAAGCGGCTGCAGGGGGAGGATGATCCTGATCGCTCCATGAAGCTCTCCTTCCGGGCCCGGGCCTATGGCTTCAGGGACCCCAGGCCTCAGCTGCGCCGGGGCTGGAGGCCATCTTCCAGAGAAGACAGTGTGGAGGCCCGAGGCGACTTTGAGGAAAAGAAGGAAGAGGAAGGCAGCGCCAACCGCAGAGCAGAGGTCGGTATAGCCAAGGGCAGCATGGGATAGGGGACACTTGCTTACAGCAGGTGATCAATAGAGCTACTGGGCCAGGTGGACAGTGGCCTTAGATGTGCCTGAGGGACACAGAGTGGGGACATTGCCTCTGCTGGTGTGTGAGCAGGACATGGGAGTAATGGGGAATCAGGCATGTGGATGGGGAGCTTGGCAGGACTGGCCTGGGGCCTCTCAGGGCACCTGTATTCCTGGGAACTGGGAAAGGATGCTAAGGGACAGCCTTGTTGGTGGCCATGTTGTCCCGGTCCCCAGGCAATACGATTACACCTTCTCCTGGGTTCAAACTCACATATAGCCTACAATGGCATAGCAGGGGCAGGGCTAGCTGGACCTTGGTGAGCAGACAGGGAGGAATGGAGGTGCCAGCAGATGTGGGTTCCACCTGGTCCTGATTGTGTGACCTTGGGCAGGTCATTGTCCCTCTCTTCCCTCTCTGAGTCTCATTAGTTCCCCCATTTGTGAAACGGGAGTATGGAGTCTCTCCAGTTCACCTCATTCTCACCACAACATGACTTACAAAACCCTGGTCTACACAAAGCCACTTGGGCAGCTGCAGGGGTGGTATAGGGACCCAGGGACGTGGACCACACAGGAGGTGAGAGCCGGGCTTCTCGGCAGGCAGGATGCCTCCTGAGCTAGACGAGGCTTTTGTGGGACCTGGTTAAACTGGTGCTGTGGAGGGAGTTGGGATTCTATGGGGAACATGCTCTACCCTCAGCCCGGACCTCAAGGCTCTTTTCTGCTCACCCAGAAGCCTTCTTTAGGTCCTGCCCATCTTCCAACCTGAGCAGGATCCTGTTGAGATCTGAAAGCAATGGGTTCCTCTTAGGAGTGACTGGCCACTGGTCTGGAGTCCTTGGAGGTGGGGGAAGGGTAACATGAACTGCTCTGTACTACTTACCCCTCCTGCCCTGGTCCCAGACAAGATGGGCAGTTTTAAGAGCCCTTTACCAACCCATTAAAGCTTCTTACTCATGAACAAAGGGAACCTTTAGTGAAGAAGCAGGGACCCCGGGTATTATAGACAGGATGAGGTGGGGGGTAGTCTTGCTAGAAACGTCAGCAACAAAGAACTCATACTCCCTCCATGGCTTGTTCTCAGATAGAAGGATCTAGAATCCCTATTTCCAGGGTAGTCTCTGTCAGTGTCCTGCAGACTGCGCTGAAAGGCAGTAAATTTGAGACTTAGAGGCTGAGAGGAGGGTTTCCTGCTTCCCTGACTGTCCTGACCGGAGCGTGGGAGATTCTAGGGTTAGGACCAAATGTCAGAGCCCAGCCCTGAGCGGGTCTGTGTTGACACAGTTCTGACCATTAGCCCAGCAGGTTCAGAGGCTGTAGGAGACAGATCAAGCCAGACTGGCTGCATCCCAGGAGCCAGCACTGGTATCCAGACTGAGGAAGGGACCCAAATGGAACCATGTACCCTGAAGGAACAAATTCCTACTGGTCTATAGTTGATGGATGAAATGGAGGTTGAATAAGAGCATAGTGGTCCCCAGAGTATCCCAGCATCGTTGGATGACATCATTGTACCTGCAATGCAGAGAAATCCCCCGCGGTTCAGACACAAAGCCCCTTGTCTGAGACCAGCTGCTAACAAACAGCAGGGCCAGTCTGACCGACTGTGCCGTAGATGATTCCAGCCTGGGCCAGTCCCAAGTGACCCTGTCTGTTCCCTCCTAGGACCAGGAACTAGAGAGCCTGTCAGCCATCGAGGCAGAGCTGGAGAAGGTGGCTCACCAGCTGCAAGCACTGCGGCGGGGCTGAGGCACCGGCTGGTGGGGGCAGCCATGGCTTCAAGGCACCCTGTGACCCTGGCCCCGTGGCTTGAATGCAGCTCCCAGTAGGGAGGCTGCCTCTGGCCACCAGAGCCCAGGTTGCCCTCTTGTCCCTCATCCCCTCTTGTTCTCAGCCCCTGCCCTGGACACTCCTGCAGGACAGCTCCGACTGTCAACACATATTCCTTCTCTGAACACAGGCAGCTTTCTAGAAGTTTCTCTTCCACCTTATCCACGGGGCACAACTGCAGTAACTTCTGACCTTTGGGTGAAAGTCGAGAACTCCTGACTACGATATTCCAGATAAAATTTGTTGACAGAATAAACCTGCTTTGGGCTCTTTCCTTTTCTTTGACTTTTTTCTTTCCCCTTCCACTCAGAGTTGAGTAAAAGGAATGGGTAGTTTCATGGCTGTGCTGAGTGTGTGTTTTGGGGTACTCCTTTCTGGGCCATTTACGGGCAAGCGTCTTTGTATCACTGAGCCTCTGTTTTATCTGTAGATGGAGGTGCTGAACTGCCCAGAACGGGACGTGGGATGGTCACCACCCCAGGGCGGGGTCCATCACCCTTTGCTCACTTGTCTCCCAGCCATGCCTGAGCTGGACAGTTTCTGCTGAGGTTGTCCTTCTGGGCTGTCATCTAGCTGGGTGCTGGGCAGAGGTTGACAGGCCCCAGGATAATACCTCTGCCCGGTCACAGGTACCAGGTCAATGTTGGACTCCCCACCATGGCTACTCATGTGTCAGTGACCACAGGCGTGGGCCATGGGGTGTCTAAGCATGGGGCACGAAGAGTATACTAGAAAATAACAGGTCTTAGGTCCAGTTTTGAGAATAGGGAAACAGAGGCAGGGAAGATGAAATAACACATTGAAGTCACAGATGGAGCTGACATACCAAACTTTTAGGCATGAGAATTTTGTAGGTCATTCATGCAATCACGCCAGGCTGGGATATGGTGCTGGACCCATGGGTGCCGGCTACTAGGACCAATCATTCAATTGTCATTCAATCATCAAACATGTCTATGCGGCCTAGCACGCCTGCATACAAAACCTGGTATGAAACCCTGGCTTCGGAAACCCGATGTCTCGTGGGGTAAGTCAGATCCTCCTACAGTCAACGCAGCCTCTGACTGTTGGGCTGGCGAGTGGCTCTGCTGGCTTCAGATGGGAATGTTATCTCTTCACGTTCTCCGCCTGTGCACCTCAACAAAAAGCCAGCAGGTGAGGGACTTCCAGGTGGGGATGATGGAGACTGGGCTCGGCCTTAGCAGTCTGCCTAGCAAGAGCATGCACATTGACCAAGGGGCAGGGACATCACTGCACCCCAGGCAGAGCCAATTCCAGAGTTCCAGCTGGTATTTGAGAGCCAGGTCCCAAGGGTCCAAACCCTGCCTCAGTCCACCCGTATTCAATGTGGTGACATTCTGTTTAATAATTCAACTTGCCTGAAGATCAGAGTGCAGAGCTAAGTCACTAGAGGCCAGGCGGTGTTAGCTCACACCTTGAATCTCTATACTTGGGAGTCCCACGCCTTTAACCCCAGCACTAGGGAGGTGGAGGCAGGAAGAGAAGAATATAAGGTGGGAGGAGTCAGGAGCTCATAGGCAGGTTTGATGGAGACAGTTGCAGTCTGAGGAAAGGATCGGGTAGAGGTAAAAGGTCTCTCTAGTGGCTAGCTATACTACTTCTCTGATCCCCCAGCTTTCAGGTGACTCTGGGCTTTTATTATCAGTACCTATTAGAATTCATGCAACAATTCACTACCTAGAGTACTTGGCCAGCCTTTCTGACCCTCCCAGAGCCTCGGTTTCCCAGTGTGGAATTCAGTTTGTACTGAACTGTGGTAGGGCCCGACTGTGTGAGACAGCACAGACCCCAAATTCCTACAGCAGCGGAGGACATGGTAGGACAGAGGTAGGAGGTGGGAGGTCTTCACCTAAAAGTTTCCAGTGAACCCTAGCTTCTCGCATTACAGCAACCCACCCCTGAGGCAAGGCACACCCTGCATGAGGTCACTGCTGAGACGTGGTTTTCTTCAGGCTCAGACACCTCCTGACAGTTACCTTCAGGCTCAGACACCTCCTGACAGTTACCTTCAGGCTCAGACACCTCCTGACAGTTACGTAATTACACGAACTCCCACTAGGCTACCAGAGACCAAAAACATCCAGCACCAAGATCAAGTGGCAACAGAACACAGGGACACTTTGTCACTAGAAGACCCCATCCTAAAGATGAGCCCCCTGCATTGTCATTACCACAGGAAGTAAAGAGAGGCTGGGCAGGAGCCAGTGCGCAGTGGCTTTGTCCAAGAGCATCTGGCATGCAGATGTGCACAAGACACACGGGTGCAGGGCGGAGTGGGGGGAGGGGGCAAGCAGGAGCCGTCACAAAGCTCGGGCATGGTCACTACTTAGCTCCGCAGGTAGGACAGTGCCATAAAAAGCCTGGGTGAGCTCTCAATGCAGGGAGCCTCGGGGAGATGTCACCTCCTATGTCCTGTAGGGGCCCTTTCAAGATGCCAAGTTTCATTAGATCCAGGAAGCAAAGAAAACTCAACCGTTTCTGAGAAAGGTACCTCCCGGTCATAAGCAGAGGGAAGAGGACCCGAGTAGAAGGGGCCGTGTTGCTGTGGTAGTCAGCCTTCCTCTGCACAGGAGAGTAGGCCGGCACTGGCCTGGCAGAGAAGAAGGGTTGAGGCTCAGGCCTTTACTAGGGGAGGGTCTGTGGAGGAGCCTTGGAGCATGGTAGCAGCAGTAGCCGTAGTAGGCCTACCTAAAACTGGGAGCCCCTCGACCCCAGAAGTTCCTACCAGGAGCCATGGCACCTTCCCACCCAGACTAGAGGAGGTGGGCTCCTTCAGACCAGCGTGAGGGCTCTGGAACGACAGGAGCAGTGCTTGGATCCTACTGGTCACGTGACTGACTTACACAGGGACTGTAAAAAGGCCGGCAGGCCCTCCCAGGGCATCAGCTCTAGAGTCAGTAGGGTGTGAATGCTCTAGACTAGACAAGGGCCAGTAGAAAGGCTGTGTTCTTCAGTCTCTGAATGCCTGTCCACCAGACACTATTTGCCCCAGCTGTTAAAAACTCAGCTTCTTGCTGTGGCCTTAAAAAAAAAGTATGTGTGTGGGGACCCTGTAAATGCTCAGAGACCAAAAGACAAGACAGTTGGAGTATCTGTCTCAAATACTCTCTGCCCACTCCAAGGTAGGACCTGAACCCGGGGCTCATATTTCCTCAGCAAGCCCCAGTGGTCTCGTCTCTACTCCCTATACTTTTTTTTTTAAAGATTTATTTATTATGTACAGTGTTGAGCCTCCATGTATGGCTGCAGGCCAGAAGAGGGCGCCAGATCTCATTACAGATGGTTGTGAACCACCATGTAGGTTGCCGGGAATTGAACTTAGGACCTCTGGAAGAGCAGTCAGTGCTCTTAACCTCTGAGCCATCTCTCCAGCACCTATTCCCTATACTTTTGAGGTGGAGTTAAGAGTTCAAGCTGAATGCCTGGTTTGCTACACAGGCGCTGAGCTCTGAACTCCCGTGTCACGACAGCACAGCAAGCATTCTCAGTCACCGTTTCTCCAGCACCCCCATCAATCTACCGGGCTCAGGGTGGTTTTTCCTCCACTGATGGGGCTCACACCTGGCATAGCCCCCTAAATAATCTGAGGATTCAGTGGATCCAGTTCTGCGGGCTAGCCTACCCACAGTGCGTGGCAAATCTAGACACTTCGGTGAACCAGCAATGACCTTGACCAGACCCACTCTTCTCTCTTGAGAATGGACACCAGCGGCTAGTGTTCTGCAGCGCCGTGTTGGGGGAAGTCACATTTCTCGATCATTAAAGCACCTTCAAGAATGTGGCCCCAAGTCCCTGCTCCCGTCTCCACTCCTGGAAAAGCGTTAACTGTCCCCAATACCCGCAGAGACCTGTGGAAAACGCCACACCGCCCAAGGTGTGACCCTGGAGGAGGAGCTCCAGGGAAAGGAACCCTTGTCTTCATCCCGCCTGTTCTGAAGGCTGAAAAGCCAACGTGTCTTACCAAACATCTTTTCTTTAATGACTGTGACCATGTATGAAGTGTAGTTTGATCTCAGTAGTTTATTCTGGAGACAAAGCAGTGCGAGAGCCGGCCACACTTCCCACCCCCGTATTCAGAGGCAGGCCTGGGAAGGCGACATACAGACATCAGGTTCAACACTCAGGACCTGTAAACGTGGTTAGTTCCGGGGTTCCATTCCCAAGAAAGCCAACCAGCCCCTCCTCACCCGAAGGATGCTCAACCATGGCCCTACTTGGTAGCCTCCCCAGGGCTGCAGGGTACTTCCTCTAGTGTCCTCCATCTTATCTGGACCTAAGGACAATCCAAAGGCCTAGTTCTCTTTGCAAAGTGAGCTGATATCTTAAGACACAAGATCACCCTTGGGCGGGGGGATGGGGGACCTGGGCTTATCATCCAGGGCTCCACAGGTATCCTTTCCTGTGGGCACTGGGGCCAGTGGGTAGTCTGCCAGCTGCTGTGGGGACAGAGTGAGTCTGAAGTGGGGCACAGCTCCCTTGGGGGCTTGCCTAGTGCTCGGTGCAAGGGACTTGCTGTGGACACAGCAGGGCTGCACTGGGCCTTGCTGTACCAGGAGGGGCTGGTGTGTGTGTACAGGAGCAGCCCTAGCAACGGCCTCCTCTCACCTGAAAAGAGGGACCCAGATGATGGCATGGAAAAGCAGGCATCCTCGTGGGCTAGAACACTAGGTCAGCTCTTCAGTTTCCTGTCTCAGGAGCCACCTCGAAGAGATGAGGAGGTGGAGGCCTGGAGACTCGTGGAATGATTTGTTCAAAGTCCCAGCACAAACCCTGGGTCCCGACAGACCCCTGGATTCCTAGCTAGGTAGCCTCCTTCCTGGGTCCCAGAGAGCAATAGAGCCAGGCTGGAGAGTACAGTAGCCTGGTGTATTCTACAGAGCCAGTAAAGACTGGCAATAGTTAGGGGGCTTTGGCTCCACCCACTAAGAGGCT